ACTATCAGTCACATGCATACACATACACAATGCAAATAAAATGTGTATACACACACACAAGTACATATATAGTATATATATGTATGTATGTATGTATATATGAATGAATATATAGGTGTGTGTGTGTGTATGTGTATACACACACATACACATATATACTGTATGTATGTATGTTCTCCCTCGCTCCCTCTCTCTCTCTCTCTCTCTCTCTCTCTCTCTCTCTCTCTCTCTCTCTCTGTAAATCCCCATACACTTACTTCCCCTCAAGCTCACCCTCTCTCTCTGTCAGGTTAATCAATAGACACCGTATGGCAGAGGGTCAGTAATCAGTGTCATCATGCCTTTAAATCGTGTTGAAAATTTGCTTAAAGCCTGGGCCAATTAACATCGAGATGATGAATGGATGGGTAGATGGGAAGAGCCTTGTGCTTGGGGGCTTTGTGCAAAGGAGATGCTCAGCTGTTGAGCAGCCGACACCAGCGAATAAAATCAGCCATTCATATGAGCTCAGTCCACCCACTCTTAATGATAATGTCAATCTAGCAAAATATATACACATTGGAGTTGTCATGAGTTCATAAATCAAAGGAGTTTGTCAAAGGCATTCAGATTAACGAGGCAGCAGCAATAACAAGTCAAATTTGCATAGAAAATTGCCTGAATCTCAGTAAATTATGATCCAGTTTTTCATTTGATTATTTGCTAATGTCTCAAGAGGGGAAATGATTATATTAGCATGCAAAATCTACTCCAGAAGTAGGAATCTGAGGTGCAGCCGACCAGCACATGATGACAATTAATCAGTTTCTGCATACTAGCGTGAATACACAAGGCCCAGAAATGAACTCCTTTTATTATTATTTCTCCTTGCTACTGATCCAAATGGTTCAGCTTGACAGTGATTTTATATTGCTTTAACAGTGTTCTGAATTGTGCCTGTAGGCAAGACATAGTTATGCAGCTATAACCAACCTATCCATCTGCCAACCAGATTGGAATTCTCTTATCCAAAGCTACCATTAACCCCCACTGACAGTTCCAGACAGGATTAAGGATTTGAAAGCATAAAGAAGTGCGTTCTGTGTATATATGGTTCCTTGCTTTCACATGCAGATAGATTTTTCAAAAAGTGCTGCATCTGTATGGTTTATTAATAGTGCTGACAAATGCAAGCCTCTACTTTTCCCATCCTCAGGAAATAAAACCCCAATGCTTCCATTGGCAAGATTATTGCTTGAGACAAGAGGCATTTTTAATAATCTTGAAAGGCTTTTAATACATCCATTGCCTCTGATTCTAGCAGATGAATTTAATGCAACAATTTGCCTTATGTTCAGATTCTTCATTGTAACTATGTAGGGATGTTTTGGAGAGGTGTGACTGAATTTCATGAGAGAACTGTGTACAATGGTTGTTTAGGTGGTCACATGCTAGGCAGATTTGTTGTGTTCATTACAAGGTAAAACAAATGACTTTTCTCAAAAGTCTGTTCCTCTTTAGGTCACTTTGCAAGTAGCAATTTAAGTATTGTCCGCCTATTGATTACTGAGATAGAACACATCTCTCACAAAATTAGCTTACTTTACATTTTCTTATGCTTTCTTATCTTTAATCTTGTTAGGGTTAGGGTTGAAGCCAGAAAACAAAATTTCCCAGGAAAGTTACCACTTATTGTTATAATTATATTACATTTATTTATACAGGCCTTCCTTAAAGCAGATAAAAATAATATCAACCACACCATCTCATTACTTTCTTGAATATCATGTGGCAATTATAGAATAATTCAGAATATTCTCTTCTCATTGATGCCATGTGGGACTATATCATTAATTATTGCCTTTTTCTGAATTGTTAAATGTGGGGGAAAATAGCAAAAGACCATATGTAATGTATGTATATGTATATGGTAAACCGAGTCAAAAGATCTAATAATTCATGATGTCCGATGACACATACATTAGAGAGAATATAATTTCTGATTTAATTTTTTTTAAGAATAGCAATAGCAAAATGACTTTTTTTTCTATCTAAATTGTACGTTCAAAATGAAGAAAGTTTTAGCAACAGGAATATAATGAATGGTTATATTCATAATTATCTAATTTAATCACAATTTTTGAACTTCCTTGTACTTCATTGCAAAGCATTTCTTTACTGATCAGCAGAGTAGAAGATAGTAACAATCGCTTAATTTTTTCCTCTGAAGAATAATCATCTTGCTGAATCAGAAATCTAGCCCTGGCCCTCTTAAATTGCTATAAGAAAGTCAACAAGCAGTTCAGTGGGAAGTGTTGATCACAGATGTCCATATCTATTTTACTTGTTAGGATGCATAACAGACCTAAAAAACAACTAGCATTTGAAATTTATTTTTTGTCTTGGGATTGGTTACAATACAAAATATATTTCAGGAATATTCTAAGGCTTGTTGTCCACCAAGATTTCCAGTTTCTAAGCAATGAGTTCCATCTTTGCTGCTGTTACAGAGCTTAATGTTTTCCAGTTTTTCAGCCTTTGCCAAGCGTAACTTAACTTGCTGACAAAAGTGCATGAGCAGCGCTCCTCTTTAATAGTCTGCTGTGTTGGTGCAGTAGAATAGGGTGACGGCAAGCTGTGAGCCACCATATGCACTTGGCAGTCATTGTCTGGTCTTTGTTCAGCCAACCTCTTAGTCTTGCCACCTATAAAGATAATGAATAAAACAAAGGCTTCAAATTAGCTGTTTAGTTTCAAGATGAAATTGGTAAACTTCAAGCATGTTGGGGCGGGCAACATAAAGGCAATAGAATTCCAGAGTCTTTAGTAATATAATTTAGAAGGACATCAAAGCAAAATAGGATCCAAAATTAAAGTTTTTTTAAAAATTCCAGTTGCATTAACACTGTAATATCAACCTAATAATAATAATAATAATAATTTTATTTCTATACCGCCCTTCTCCCAAAGGACTCAGGGCAGTGTACAGCCAATTTAAAAACACAAGACACAACAATAATTAAAAATTAAAATAATTAAATAGATTTGGCTGATTTAAAACTCTAAAAATTAAAATACCCCAATTTAAAATTATTATATTGACAGCCCTGCCTGGCGGAACAACAAGGTCTTCAATGCGCAGCGGAACACCCGGAGGTCGGAGATCTTGTGTATTTCCGGGGGCAGTTCATTCCACAGGGCTGGGGCTCCCACAGGGAAGGCCCTCCCCCTGGGTGTCGCCAGCCGACATAACTTGGCTGATGGCACCCTGAGGAGACCCTCTGTGGGAACGAACTGGTCGGTGGGAGGCTATTGGTGGCAGAAGATGGTCTCGAAGGTACCCGGGTCCCATGCCATGGAGCGCTTTAAAGGGCTAAAAATGTAATGTGTAAACTTTTTCCATCCTTTATCTTACTTGCTGTCTGATTCTTTCTTTCCCATATTTTCTGTGTTTATGGAATGATGTCAGCAGTCTTCTGACTTAAGATTGTCCTTAAAAGTATAAGAATCATGACTGAGACACTGTGTTGTCTTACTGTAGTGGCCCCCAACCTTTTGGGCACCTGGGACTGGTTCTGTGGAGAGAGGTTTTTCTGTGGGCCAGAGGGAGTGTGCTTTCGCAAGCTGCCTGCATCCCACGGATGGGGTTTCACTTGTTTGCATGGCCCAGTCTCTGGCATGCTTTGGCCTGGTGCCAGTCCAGGGACCAGAGGTTGGAAACCCCTGATCTATTGAATTTTGTCCAAATGAGTGTTTTGGGTAGGAATTTTTATTTTTAATGCAATCAAAAATTAGTATATACCTTAGTTATTTACAAACATTTTAATATCACCTTTTTAGCCACCAGAAAAAAATTAAAATGTGGCTTCTCAGATTATTAAATAAAATTAGCACAACACAGTTAATTATAATTGTTAATGGCTTTTTAGTATCATTGAGACAATAAACATTTGCTGCTAGGAAATATGTGACTAAAAATAATCATATGGTCATCTTAGTATCATGGATGAGAAGGACAGAAGCTAAATGGTAAAAAGTAAGTTGGTTCAGTCTGTGGCACCTTCACAGAATCAAGTGGCAGAGCTACTAAGGACTGGGTACAGCTAGTATGTCAGAATAAGGTAGTGCTAAAGTAAATGGGGCAGTGGCTTGGCTTGGAAGTGTAAAATATGCTCTCCATTGTAAGAGCTAGCTTAGACCTCACAAGAGATTTGGAGATATCTGTTGTGGGTTGCAAAACAAACAAGAGTTTTATTTTTATTTTTTTATTGTTATTTTGCTTACTGAGGGTTTCATGATTTGGGGTGATGTCATTGTAATATCACCTGTAGGAACAGAAACAGAATTTTACCAGAAAAGAGGTATATTTTATTTTCTGGGTGGTGGGAGGCAGATAGGGTCTCTGCCATTTAGCTGAACAAAAAAACTGAACTCTGAGCCCTACATATGCTACATAAAAACCTCTGTTTTTATAGGATGTCCACTTTGTTACATTCATTTAAATTTCATAAAAGAGATTTCAGTGTACTAAATCCTGTACTGTCACAGAGTAAGACATACGAGTTTAGATATGTAAAAGAATAAGCATTTTGCATTGTAGAAATTTAAAACAACAAACTTATATTTGCAATACAGGTAGGTAGTTCTCATTTAAAAGTTGCCTTATTAATTGAGCATTTCCAAATATAATGGTAATAACTGTTAGTAAAAAATAATTTTCTGACCTGGGTATGCACTTGTGCCCAATTTCTTCTACTGACAACAATACACACCAGAACGAGAGTAATTTTGGCATCACTGCATGAGAGAACTTTTGCTTAACGAGACAGCAACAACCAGTGATCTTTGCAGCATTGCTTTCTTGCAGTCACATGATTTTCTTCGCAACCTTGCCAATAGAACCGATTGCGGTTGCTAAATGAGGACTGCCTGTATTATAAATGTTTGTTTAATTATGTAGGTAACTGCCTTAATGGAATACTTGAACTAATATTTTCTTTTTCTTTTTCTTTTCTGGGTAGACTTCCTCTGAAAGAGAAGATTGTAATAATGATGAGCCTCCCAGAAAGATCATTCCTGAGAAGAATGCACTTAGGCAGGTATGAAATTGATTCAGAGCAGGGTGAAATGCTCCTGGTTCGGACCGGATCACCTGATCCGGTAGCAATGGCGGCGGGTGGTTCGCAGAACCGGTAGCAAAAATCCCTGCGCGCCCCCCCCCACCATGCTCAGCTGAGTTGCACGATCATCAGAGGCTTTTTTTTTTTTACTTTTAAAAGCATTTTTTCGTTGGAAGAGATTGTAGAAAAAATGCTTTTAAAAGTAAAAAAAAAAAGCCTCTGATGATCGCGCGGCTCAGCTGCAATCCTCAAAGGCTTTTCAAAGCATTTTTTTCTGCAACCTCTTGGCCGAAGAGGTGGTAAAAAAAAATGCTTTGAAAAGTCTCTGACGATCCCAGCTGAGTTGCCTGATCGATCACCAGAGGCTTTTCAAAGCATTAGAAAAAATGCTTTGAAAAGTAAAAAAAAAAAAAAAAAAAAGTTGGCCACGCCTACCCAGTCACATTACCCCCCCCACACACACACACACATCAAGCCATGCCCACAGAACCGGTAGTAACACATTTTACATTTCACCCCTGATTCAGACTCACAAATACCATCCACCTCTTTACTTGAAAACAGCTAGGATTCTCTGACATACTTTTGGAACGTGAAAAGCTATAGCATAAATATAGACATGATTTTGTTACAACCTTTCAATTTGAATCATTATGCTAATTTTGAAGTGATTCTGTATTCTTCAGAAGCTGACTTTTAGGAGCTAATCTATGTCTAAATAACCTATAATCTTTATAGAGCAGTCTGGGAGTTGTTCCCTATGGATCTTAACCTGGTTGAGTAATGTCTATAAAGCAGAGCCTTGTGTATCAGACAGATAAAATTGTAGTCATTTTCTTTGCTGATTTCACCTGGCAACAGTCTCCCATCTTATGTATAACATAGCCATTCAGACTTCTGTAACCTATTTAACCTCTTAGGAAACAGCAAGATTATCTCATACAAAATTCAAGTGAACAAGTAATTAGCAGTCAATTATTCAATATATTGATGAAAGTTACATCAGAGTAAAATGTCATATATTTCTGGTCCCAGTTTGAATGCAATAAGAAGGAAAGTTAAGGGACCCCAATGCATTCAGATTATCTATAGTTATACTATATCCTTAACCTTCAATGACTGTGTTACGTACCCTGTTTTCCACAAAATAAGACATCCCCTGAAAATAAGTCTAATCGGGCTTTTGCATCCATGGCAATAAGGCCAAGCGCTTATTTTAGAGTTCAAAAAAATATAAGTCAGGGTCTTATTTTCGGGGAAACACGGTACATAGCAACATAATGTTTGGTGAGGCTACATACCTACTACTGGCAAAGTACTATTGAGAAATTTCAGGACTGTGTGAAAGTAAAATTATGATTTGACTAAACTGTTTGGAATAGCAAGGTTAATTTAATTTGACCTACAATTTATGTCTTTGAGAGGCAGTGATCTAAGACAGGGGGTGCACAACTCCTGGGCCACAGACTGGTACCGGTTTGTGGCCTGTTAGGAACCGGGCCGCAGAGCTGGAGGTGAGCAGCAGGCAAGTGTGTGAGAATTGCAATATAGAAAGGAGAGTGTTCTGTCTGTACCAGAATTACTAGTTAAATGAGGGGCATACGATTTACCGTATTTGGAGTATAAGACGCACTGGAGTATAAGACGCACATACCTTTTTGGGTGAGGAAAAGAAGAAAAAGAAATCTCCCTCTGCCTCTGAGCAATTTTGCCTTTGCAGCAAACAGCAAACCAAGCAAAGTAACTGCTTTACTTTCATTTTCATTTTCAGCATAGCCTGATTAGCACAAGGAAAAAAAATCTGGTCCAGCAATTTACGTCTTTGTAGCAAGCAGAGAGCCCTACGCAAAACAGCTGAGAGCAAATCAGCTGAGAGTCGGGAGGACGATCCAATCAACTTGTGCTAATTAGGCTGTGCTGAAGCTGAAAGGAGCTGTTTTTTCTTGCTGTTTGCTTCCAAGGAGGTAACTGCTGCAAGGCAGAGGCCAAAGGGTGGGGGCCAGTGGGTGGGCGGGGCTAAATTCAGTGTATAAGACACCCCCTTTTAGGGAGGGAAAGGTGCATCTTATACTCCGAAAAATACAGTATATTATCAGCATATTTATGCTGTTGCTGTTGCAAATTTAATGGGAAAGATTATATGGCAACCTGAGTGTGTTAACCTGTTTGGAGAATTTTGTCCTTTATAGTTTACAAATAATCAGTATTCTTACCCCCAAATTAGAGATTTTACTGTGCAATTGTTGCTGTTAGAAGCTGACAACTCATAGATAATCTAACCTAAGATAAACCAGCAATAACATGTTTTTAAAATATAGTCAATAACCCTGACTGCCAAAGTTACTGGATATATTTTTCACATTAGCCCTGCAAAATATGGCTTTTTCTTTAGCTAGAGCTGTTTAAAATGTGGAGTCCTTGGTACTCTCTGAGCTTGGTTGTTTTCTTGCAGACATTTCATTACCCAACTAGGTAACATCAGTGCTCAGGGAGCACCAAAGACTTTGCAGTTCAACCTAAGCTACATACAAAACAAAAGTTCTTCTGGGAGATTACTTGATGAAGGGGTTGGTTAATTGATTAAAATAAAAATATTTATCTTGAATTGAAGAGTGATTAAATAATGTGAAAAGCCGTTATCGCTATCTGATCTACAATGATAAAGGCATTCATAATAGAGGAATTAAATTAGTCATAAGGATCCTAGTGACCATTAACTTTTCTCTGGCAAGAATTACCACTGTTCACCCTGCATTAACAACATTTCCGCGTTTTCCCGAAAATAAGACCCTGTCTTATATTTTTTTGAACCCTGAAATAAACGCTTGGCCTTATTGCCATGATCTCAAGAGCCCGATTGGGCGTATTATCAGGGGATGTCTTAATTTGGGAGAAACAGGGTAACAGTTGAAAGATAGTGTATGAGGGGCTTCATTTTGACTGCTTTCACTTTCTCATGAATAGAAGGAATAAAGGAGAGAGAAATAATTAGTTTAAAAGTAGAAAAAAAATACATGTAGTAAATTCTGTGGAGGGGCAAGGTTAGGGATAAAATCTGTATACACACATGCAGCATATGATTTGTGTGTGTGTGTGTGTGAAGTTTTAGAAAACAATAACAAGAGGGCCAAAGTTTTTGGCAACTATGTTTAGCTAACAAACAAATGCTTTCTCTGCTAAGTTATAAATTAATTTTAATAGGCTGATCCAGATGGTCTGTTTGGAAAATGGATAGCTTGATCTGTTGAAAATTAAACTAAATTTATCTGTCTCATACTTCAAACTGAAGCTAGTGTGAAAAGAATGCCCATTAAGTCCAGTGAATACAGATGGACCAGCAGGTCACACATGGGACTAATCTGATTCATTTTAAAAATAAATGTGTGAATTATTGAATGAAACTCCTGGTTTGAATCCTGTTTTATGTATGTGTGCAGCCTTTTTGAAAGACCCTCTCAAATGCTTCAGTGCCCTTTTTAACCTGTGTGTTTCTATTTTAAATTCAAAGTTCTTGCCAAAAACATAATTAGTTTTCAGTACCCATCGTTTAGTGTTGGATCTGAATGGTAGATTGATTGGGTCAAGCATTTATTATTTTAAGGGCTCTACTTCTGTGAAGAATTGAGTCTTAGTAGCCTAAAAAGAGAGTTAGTCTTTAGAAGCCAATGAGGGGGAATCTCTCCAGGGACTTTTGCGCCTTTTGGCTTTGGGGTGTGTTAAACAGAGCCATGAATGAAGATTTGTAAATTTATTGCAATACCATCTGGGTTTTCCCTTTCTTTTTGTAAGCACCATATTATTGTTGGATTGTAGCTGTCTATTGTGAAGTCACTCCCCAAGAGTCTGCCCTCCTACTCTAAAGGAAAGTGATGAATAGCAAAGGTCAACAGGCCTAGGTCACAGGGCAGCTGTCCAGGGCTGCCCTGAACTTGATTACTCTCCTGCCTTTTTTGAAAAGATTGGCTCAGCACAGGTTATTTAAGGAAAACTACTCCCCTTTGCTCAAATAGAGTATTAATGAAGTATCTTTTTCCTGTCAAAACTTGCTCTGCGGGTGGAGGGAGATTGGATAGTCGTTGCAGAGAGGAATTTATGTCAAAAGGTGCCATGTGGGGGGAAGTGCTGATAGCAGCATCATTGAAATGATATGCATGGCAGTTTTTGCATTGAAGTGCACAGCTTCCAGACAGAATAAAAGTGAAGCAGCTATCCCTGACTTTCTGTCAACTAAAATGGTTCTCCTTCCTTCTACAGCAGCATTTCTCAATCTCAGCAACTTTTAGATGTATGGACTTCAGCTCCTTGAATTCCCCTGCTAGAATAGTTATACCTTTCCATCACCGTATTTTGGTCAGCCATTTCTTCAGCAGTTTTGCATTGTGTTTTCTGGCTGCAATATTCAGAGGACTTAGAAAGCTTCTGATATATTGTGGGGAAAGTAGAAAAACTGCTGAGCCCACGGGTGTCAAACTTGCGGCGTCACATTGCCATCACGTGATATTTCACGACAGTTCCCCCCTTCATGGGGGTGGGGTGGGTGTGGCCTGTGCGTGACGCATCTGGCCCACGGACCACCAGTTTGACACTCTGGCTGAGCCCAACCATAGGACGTTTACAATTTTGGGCAAACCTTATGAAGGAAAAACAGTAAAAATAAATAAATAAATCTCATAGTTATCTAAAATTGAATGCATATCTTTAAGGGAGGGAAAAATCAACATGATTGATTTAGCCTGACCTTTAACATTGATAATGACCAGCAAGTTTTTTTTTAAATATTCATAAAGTAATGCATTTATGTTTCCTGCCCTCCCTCAGTTAATAATCTTTTCTTTAGTACTTTAAGAGTTAACTTTATAAATTAAACAGGAATTCAAGGCTGCTGCCAAAGATATTATCCTGAAACACAAAGCCCACTTGTATTGACTTTTTACTTTAATACTAATCATGTCTGTCAGATGTGCTGCTTTTCTGCCTTC